CGAGGTGCTTGATTTTTGTGAGTCCCCTTGCCTCTCACATGTGGGGTGCTTGATTTTTGCGACTCTTCAACAGTTTTCGAGAGTCGATACTCATTCATAACTCTGATTGAATCAAATGGAATAATCCAAGAGATTTCCAATAGTAAATCGTTAACCGAACACATGACTGCCACCCATGATAAACAGAGACTCGGTGTTCTCGTTTGTTTATGTTTATGTTTTTCTTTTCAATGGAGTTAATTAACTGTTATCCCTATTCAAATCGCTCACAATCTTCGGAGAGCGACGAACAAGAATTCAACAACAAACGGAAACATCGAATCTCTGTTTATTGCGGTTTGTTATTATGTGGATGACCACGGCAATAAATGATCATTGAAACACAGGTTTCAAACTGTGGCAGTCACAATCGTTGTCTTCTCTTGCGTATTCAATCAAAGAAATGAACCACTATCAACCCTCTGAAATTGTTGACATATTGCTCGTGCTTGGCGAATGTCACACTAATTATCACTCACAATAAACAAGCACCCCACATGTGAGAGGCAAGGGGACTCACAAAAATCAAGCACCTCGAAGGGAACAGAGAACTACCACGTCCACGTCGTTGTTCCTGGGTAGCGCTAAGAGTAGTTCATCAATGACTTTGATGGTCCATAACTCGGACCCCAGTGGGCGGATTGTGGACCACAACCAGTGTTTCGTAAAGGGCTTGAAACCAGCTTTCTCATCCCATGGTGAAAAACTAGGGGTTCCATTTAAAAAAACCATCGTGACCCCTGAATGACCTTCAAAATGACCTTCCAAGGATTTTTCAAGGTCAGTACCATACTTCCCCCGTGTAACCCTAAACTTTTCATACGAAACATTTTTCTCTATCCCTACTAGTTTTCGAGATATTTGACTGGATCACTTCAGATGGTCCACCCTGTATATATACAGGGTGACCCATTTTAACTTAGACAGCCAAATAACTCGAAACATCGCGATTAAATAAAAAAATGTTTACAACAAAAATTGTTGGATATGAAGAGGCTGATTGAACTATGACCTTGGCAATGACCTTGACCTTCATTGTCAAGGTTATTTGAAGGTCTACAATCAATTTTCAAATAAAAACCCTTATTTTTGATCCCGGATTTTGAAAGAGCGCAAAATTTTACGTCCAGATGAACTTTCATGTTATTGGAAAAAGACAAAAAAAAGATTTTTTGGCTTTCTGCTTCGATTAGGAATTTGTCTTTGAAATTACCTCTATGGTCAACTTTGACCCATAACATGAAAGTTCATCTGGACGTAAAAATTTTGCGCTCTTTCAAAATCCAGGGTCAAAAATATGGGTTTCTATTTGAAAATTGAAAGTAGACCTTCAAATAACCTTGAAAATGACAGTCAAGGTCATTGTCAAGGTCATAGTTCAATCAGCTCCTTCATATCCAACAATTTTTGTTTTAAACATTTTTTTATTTAATCGCGATGTGTCGAGTTATTTGGCCGTCTAAGTTAAAATGGGTCACCCTGTATACTATATACAGGGTGATCAAAAAGTATCGGACACCCCTAATATCTTCAGTTAGAATGCATTTTGGAGAAAATGTCCAATAGCAAAGTTGTATGATTTCAAGCGAAGAGTAAGATAATGACCTTGACTTTGATCTTGACCATGTTTTTTTTTTTAAGGTCATTTCAAGGTCAACCTTATTTTTTTAAATGGAACCCCCTACATTTTATTGCATATTTTTATAGCTTATCTCGAGAGCTTTCCAAAACACTATAATAAAACATTTTTTCATTAAGTACTTTTTGAGTTATAAAGGTTTGAAGTTAACAATTTTTTGACACAAACTGTAAAATATCTTGTAAAATATTATTTAGTTTTCAGTAATCATAACCTTATATATACGTTTGTGCGCGGAATAATGAGACCAATTAATTGGTTTAAAGAAAATACATTAATCAAAAAGTGTCGGATTCCCCTAATATTTTCAGTAAGAAGGCATTTTGAAAAAATGTCCAAACCTTTATAAATCAAAAAATACTTAATGAATAAATGTTTTATTATAGTGTTTTGGAAAGCTCTCGAGATAAGCTATCAAAATAAGCAATAAAATGTAGGGGTTCCATTTAAAAAAATAAGGTTGACCTTGAAATGACCTTAAAGGACATGGTCAAGATCAAAGTCAAGGTCATCGTCTTACTCCTCGCTTGAAACCATACAACTTTGCTATTGGACATTTTCTCCAAAATGCATTCTAACTGAA